AGATTTCTTTGTCATTGTTGTTAGTTCATTTGGAAAAGACGCGGTGAGAAAGCTTTTAAGAATCTCAACTATAGTGTTTTTGGACTTTTAGCAAAGGCTAAAGCCATTCTATCTAGTTTCAGTGCAACTAAGGTACAGATGAATCGAGTCAAAATCAAAGGTATTGCAGCAATGAATGAGAATCGCATTTGAAAGAAGTTGGGTAGCTGTTTATCAATGTTGACGAAACTTACTTTCACATAAGGATTGCACAGCTGGATGTGGGGGGGTTATCAAAGACAATAAAGGAAATCAAACAGAAGTTTTATGCTTAATTTGCAAAATGTAGATTCTTTAACAGCAGAACTTTGGGCATATATTATTGGTCTTCAAAGGGCATGGGATGAGAATCATAGACTAGTATGTTTGAGAAATGATTCCTTGGATGCAATTAAGCTCATCAAAATTGTAATATGATCTTACAAAGCTACGCAATGCTCCAATGTGATTGGTTTGTTGATCTTTAACACGTCTAACGTGAAGAGAACTCTAAAGCTGATATTCTGGCCAAATGTGCTTTAACAACGCCTCTTGGATTTTATTCAGTTTTTTTACACGAGTTTTGTTTGCTTTCTTCTTGTAATGTTGAGTAGTATTTACTAGTTTCTTGTTTATAAAAAAAAAATACAATCATTTTGTAGAGTTTTCAAAAGAAAATTAACTGCTATTAAAATGTTAAATGGGCTTTTTTAAACATTTCATGTATCCTTTGTTGTTTGTTAAAATTATTTTTCCAAATAATGTGATTGGATCTAACAAAAGACTATTTTTTTTTATAATAATTTTGACAAATTAAAGTTCAAATTCTTATTTAGAATGTCGTTCTTATTTATTGTCTAACAATGCATAATCATTTCTAATATGAAAATACTTGTATTTATAAAGAAAATAGATCTCTTAAATTGAAATTTACTAAATTAAAATTTTGCTTCTATTTAATTTGTTAGAAAAATTTTGAAGAAATGAGAAGGAGGGGGATAAAAGGTTTTAAATTTTATATTTCAATATAACTGAAAATTTTAAATGAAATTCTTATAAAAATCTTTTTCTAATAGTATCTCCATTTTTTAATATAAAAACTATTTGAGAATTATATTTGATTAAAAATATAAAACCTCAATTTATTTATTCTTTTAAATTTATAATCTATCCTCTGAAATATTCCTAGGGAGGTCTCCATCCCAGGATAATCATGATTAAAAATGGTAATTTAGAAAAATTAACTCATATTTATTACAAACAAATAATATTTATTTATTATAAATAAATAACTTAGCTAATTTCTTTAATTACAAATTGAATTCATATTTATTATAAATAACTAACTTGACTAATTTTTTTAATTTATCTAAATTAGTTAAGTAGCTTGTATATTAAAAATTAGAGTTACTGTATAAGAGTTCTTTTTGTTTAGTATGTAGAGAAGAGTTGAGCATAAGAAAAAGGGGAAATGGCAAATAAAGACCTTTGAAAATATAAAATGGCAATTTGGGTACCTCAATTCACAAAATAGCTATCAGAGACCGGGTCCTAAATTGCAATTATGAAATGCAGGAGAAAAGTCAAAAATGTCATTCCCTTTCTCTTCCTTCCGTCTCATCCCCTCCCTCTTTTTCTTTCTTCTCTTTCTCTCTCTCTCTCTCTCTCTCTTCGTCCTTCTCTTTACTGCTACTGAATCAAGCTCAAAGCATAGCACTCTAGTCCTCACCTCAGCCACGTCTCTCACTTCAGAATTTAGAGGGAGAGAAAGGCGATGCTATGTTCTGATTCTTCCACCATAGCTCAAAACCCTATCTCCATTTCCACCTTCCATAGCCACAAACCTGGTGCAGCGAAGAAGGATCTGTACCTTAGAATATTTGGTAAAGTTTCAGCTTGTACTATTATCTCTTGTAACAAAATAATATTGCGATGGTTTGTTGGATTTTGAATAGAAAATCTACTTTGAAATTATTATTCCTTGTCTCGGAGAGAGAAGGAACAGTGTAGCAAAGTATGTTGGAGCATTGTTTTATGCTTGTTTAAGATTATGTGTAATGCTTACAGAGTGTGATATTCTGCCCCTGCTTGAACTAAGTACCAAATCTGCAACATTATTTGATTCATCTTTTATCACCTTGGATATATCAGAACAGTTATGGAGGAAATCAAGAAATGAAAATTCATGATTAACTTTCATTAGTCAATTTATCAATTTCATGGAGAAAGTCAAAGGCTATTTTAATGTGTATGTGTCTTTTTATATATAGTTTGAACTTTTATGTGTTTACATACCCAGAAAACATACCAAGATCATATTAGATTTTGTCTTGCATACAGGACAATTCTTCCAAATGGAACAAGGTGTCAAGAAATTCTTTGAAAACTATGGTTAGATTAGGAAATACATTTCAATTTGATGGTGACAAGTTCATAATCTACTCCTCCTTAAAGAATGAAAGCTTGGATGATTCATTGCATGTGAATGAGGAAGGGAAGTCAACTTTATGATGGAATGTAAGACTCAAGATTGCATGAGGTGTAGCTCGTAATTAGTTTCCTTGTACAAGGGGTTCAACTCATTGAACTTGTCATTAATCTTACTAAACTTGTCATTTACTGCTTATCAGAAGTAGTTGCTGTCAGAAATCTGCAAATTTTAATTTCAACAGATAAATTTGAAATTGTATGAAACCTTATGGGAACTTGTTATTTGCTATACTCAATTTGTCATTTGTCATAGTAAACTCGTTACTTCGTAAATCAATGTGAAAATTCAGTCATTTTGACAGAGAAATTTGAAATTGTGTGAAAACCTGATGGAACTTGTCATTTGCCAAACTCAACTTATCATTTGTCATAGTAAACTTGTCACTTCATAAGTCAATATGAAAATTCAGTCATTTTAACGAAGAAATTTGAAATTGTATGAAAATCTCATAGGAACTTGTCATTTGCTATACTCAACTTGTTATTTGCCATAGTAAACTTGTCACTTCATAAATCAATGTGAAAATTCATTCGTTTTTTTGAAATTATATGAAAACCTTATGGGGACTTGTCATTTGCCAAACTCAACTTGTTATTTGCCATAGTAAACTTGTCACTTCGTAAATCAATGTAGAAATTCAATCATTTTAATGGAGAAATTTGAAATTGTATCAAAACCTTATGGGAACTTGTCATTTGCCAAACTCAATTTGTTATTTGCCATAGTAAATTTGTCACTTCGTAAATCAACGTGAAAATTCTGTCATTTTGATAGAGAAATTTGAAATTGCATAAAAACCTTATGAAAACTTGTCATTTGCCAAATTCAACTTGTCATTTGTCATAGTTAACTTGTCACTTTATAAATCAATGTAGAAATTCAGTCATTTCAATAGAGAAATTTAAAATTGTATAAAATTCTTATGGGAACTTATCATTTGTCATATTCAACTTGTTATTTGTCATAGTAAACTTTTCACTTCGTAAATCAATATGAAAATTCAGTCATTTTAATAGAGAAATTTGAAATTGTATGAAAACCTTATGTGAACTTGTCATTTGTCAAACTCAACTTGTCATCTGCCATAGTAAACTTGTCATTTCATAAATCAATATGAAAATTTAGTCATTTTAACAGAGAAATTTGAAATTGTATGAAAACCTTATGGGAACTTGTCATTTGTCAAACTCAACTTGTCATCTACCATAGTAAACTTGTCATTTCATAAATCAATATGAAAATTTAGTCATTTTAACAGAGAAATTTGAAATTGTATGAAAACCTTATGAGAACTTGTTATTTATCATACTCAGCTTATCATTTGTCATAGTGAACTTATCACTTCTGATAAGGTTTTTATACAAGTTTACATTTCTCTTCGTAAATGATAATTTCCAGAATTCTTTGACAACAACCAGTTTTTTACAATGAAAGGAGGTAACAGTTGTTAATTCGAGTATATCAGTAGGAGATGAGGTTGTAGAATAAAGAGAGATTATGGAGAATGAGAGCTTTTATATGAAGAGTACTATATTAGGCTATTAGCATTACATGTTTTGCAGAAAATTAAATATGGAAGCTACACGGTTAACATGTTTTCATTTTTCCCATTGCAAATCAATGTGTTGGGAAAAACATAGAAGAACGTCACGGTTCTAGAGAAGAAGAATGAAATCGAAGGAGAGTAGAAGAAGGAAAGAGAAGAAAGGGGGGAGAGAGAGAGAGAAAGGAAGTCAGAAATTTACGTTTCCAGAGAGGGAGAGTAGGACAAAGAGAGAGAGGAAGAGAAGAAGGAAAGAGAAAGAAATGAGGTGCTGGAAGAAAGAGAAAAGGAAGGGCATTTTAGTCATTTGGGCTTCATTTCATAATTGCAATCTAGGACCCGGTCTCTGATGGCAATTTTATGAATTGAAGTACCCAAATTACCATTTTATATTTTTAAGGGTCTTTATTTGCCATTTCCCCTAAGAAAAAAGTATCTTTAAAGATAACGCGCAATGTGTGAATCTTTAATATGACAATATTATATATTGGATTGGTATATAAAAGATTTTAAAGATATTGAGAAGGCAATAATGCCTTTATAGTATAAATTAATAAATAACTCGAGAGGATGTAAACAGCGGGAATGCAAAATCAAAGAATGCCGACTCAAATAAATTTTATAATTTGGAGCAATTAATTTTCATATGCAAGTAATTAATCCATAATTATCTCTAAAATTAATTATAGTCCCTACAAAACCAAAAGTTTCTATAATAATTTTTTCTTAATATAAATCACCTCATTAAGTTTATGATATGAATATATAATTTTATTTAGTTGTTATTTTCTTGATATATTTAAATATATAATTGGAATAAAGTTAAAAAGATTATTAAATTTTAAAACAAAATTAATATTTTTTTAATAAAAAAAATTAATGCTTCCTTGTACATGTCTTATTTTCCAATGCAAATTTCCTTTTGCACGTTGAAACTTGGGAGTAAGGAGGACTCAGAATATAGCAGAGCCGGATAAACAAAAGAGGAGCGGATCCATTCCACCGCTAGTCGAGCTGGCCGTAGGACGCCGTCCACCGCTGTCAGCCCCTGCGCGGTTGTTCTCGGAAAGTATCGGAGAAGGTCCGAAGCCCAGAGCTCTGTCTACCCCAAATTATCTGGTAAGATTTTTCTTTTTTCTTTTTTTTTCTTTTTGCAACGTTGGATTTATTGTGTATTGGCATTCTGTTTATTTATCTCTTTATATTATGATCAATTTGGAAAATTTCTCAAGGTATTTGTGATGCATGATGGATTAAATGACTTGTCTCGAGTTGGGTCTAGCAATTTAGAAGCTTGGGTTTAAACTGACATCTCAGTGGCTTGAAGGAGTTGCCTCAATCAGTGCAATATTTCAAAGCTTGAGTTTAAACTGAGTATAATACAGGTCCGCCTATTGGTAGATGACAAGTTGGTACTTGTCAATGCTTGCTTCATCGAATGATTCCGCATTATTATTTTGACTTTTAGAAACTACGGGCAAAGTATGGGTCTGCACCTAATGGTTCTAACTCTTTTTTGTAGTTGATTCCTGTCAACTGCAAAATATGTCATACTGACATACTTCCTTTGTATAATGGCACACAGGTTATACAAACTGAAGAGAATATCAATCATTAGTCATTAGTGTACGAAAAAAGAAAAGAAATTAATGAAGATTTGGAAACTATGGTTTACATTCTTTTGGAAGTTGTTATTTTATGAGAGATCAAGAGATATTTTCTGTATCATGAGTGTGGATTTAAATGATACAATAGACCTGGGCATTCAGGAACAGGTATGGGTAAGAAGCTTTGGTGGCTGGAGCTGATGTGGGTTGAGGAAGGTGGATTTAGATAGTGGTCCTCATGAGATTTTAACATTGCAATTTTGCAAAGTCAATTTGATTATGTTTTATACTTATTGTCTTATAAAAATGAGGATTGCAGGTTTGGGAGAGACAATGAAGCAGGTGGTTGGAATGGTGGTGTCAAACAAAATGCAGAAATCAGTGGTGGTTGCAGTGGATAGGTTATTCCACCACAAATTGTACAACCGTTATGTTAAACGCACCTCTAAATTTATGGCACATGATGAGAACAATGTTTGTAACATTGGTGATCGAGTAAGTAATGTGAATTCATCCATCCGACATGTTGTCTTTTTTATTAACTCAAATTTTTCAAACTGTAGTTTTTCCCCCACTGATTATACTAATCAATGTTCATGAAAAAGTTAATAAGCGTGCTTCTGCCTACTGTTATTTCAGGTTCGGCTGGATCCTTCTAGGCCCTTGAGCAAGTATAAGCATTGGATTGTTGCTGAAATTATTAAGAAAGCAAGAATTTATGTTCCACCATCTGCTTCTGTGACTAATGAGCCGGGACCCACCTCTAAGCACCTGCGTCCTAATACAAATTAGGTCTGAATGTATGCATCAATCCTATTAGCAGCAGCTTGCATTTTTGCTTTTATAAATTAATATTTTTCCCAAGAATTTTGAAAATGTTACCCTATCTTGATATGCTCTTGTGTGTTTTACGGCATTTCTCTTTGATGTCATGTATATTTATGTTTTTCATTACTCTTAATCTGTTTCTTTTGCTATTCTGTCCTTAGTTTATCACATTTGAATCTGGGCCACTAGTGAAATCCGTGAGTCTATTCCAAATAATGTTGGAGGGTCATTATTGTGTTGTAAATCCTGGAGTTGTTTGGATTATGAGAGAGAAAATCGTGGAAGAATATGTCGGTGTATCTGATTGATTAAAGCAGATAAAGGGGAAGAGCAGTTTCCTGGTTTAGTTTTAGTTTTTGAGTCTTCCCAAGATGGTCAATCTCCTCCTGATCCGAGATTACAGAAACTTCGTATTGCTTTATATTCATTTTCTTAAAGTTTCTTAATGTTGGAAAAAGTGGAGTTTAATTGTCAATTCAATGTATGGCCTATTCATGCGCACACATAATGATAAAACGGTGAAGAAATTTTAATGTTTTCTACTGAATAAACAGTCCTTTACTCCTTTCATTATAAAACCTTGAAGTATGAATAAACCATCTCTTTGTTTATTTGTCTTTGAAAGTGGTTTGCTTGTGACTGGAACGGTGGCTAAACACAGGAAATGTGTACATTCTTTTGCAGCCTGAGATGCTGAAGCTTTAGCTAAATTTTTCCTGATGTCAATGCTTATACATGTAGATAAGATAGGAATTTACTCATGCTGTTTGCAGCATGTCTTGACTTTAACTATTATGTACTTGTTCTGTTAAGATGGGAATAGAATGAGAACTTGAACCTCTGCTGCTGTTTTCATAGGCAAAATCTAAACCTTCTACTATTTGCCATTCTGACTTTATTTCTAAATTTTCCCCGGCCGGTGAAAGTTTACTGCAGCACATGTAAGGTTAAATAATTTGTTTCTCTGGTATAAAATCAGTTGGTCACAATTTTACTAGAAGCTCTTCTTCATCAGATGTTGAGGCTGCTCGTTTTTGTTCGATTTTATTTGCATCAGTGAAAATTGATTGTACCGATTAATAGTGGATTCATTTCATGATTAGAATACGAATTTGGTGATTATATTTTATTTCTAATGCCTACTAAACTTTTTGACCCAAAATTTCTATCGTTCCTCATGGAAAATTAAGGATAGGAGTTTTCTTTTTGATAATGATCAAAGTGATGATATAAAGTATATACAAAACCTTGTAATATGGAAAAAGAAATAGGATAATTACAAAAATATATGTAATGTTGATAAGAAGATTGATCTGTTTCTAAGATGACATTGGAAAAGTCTTTCATGAGAGAATAAATGTGCTGCATTATGACATTTGCATGATTAGAATTGTAGAAGGCATGCAATAGGGAATTTAGTGGAAAGAATTGTTGTTTGATAGAGTATATTTTCAACAAATTCCTTCTAGAACCGATAAGAAGCTACAACCATGAATGAGTCCAACATAATGAAGCACAAAAGCATTGAATAAGAAGAATGAGTTATTAGCTGCTCTTCTCTTCCATGTAAACCTTTGCATAGTAGGAATATGACCATCTTTCTTTAATTGAGACGGGTTCTTTTCAGTCAGAATTGAAAATTCTGAAAGCTATTGGAATTTAATTGAAAATTCTTTAATTGAAAGACGTCCGAACCAAATTGATGTAGAGGTGGGATATGGACATGGGTTTCAAAGTTTTCTCATATTTAAATGAATGCAAGCAGGGGTTTCTTTCATGGCTGGAGCCTTGATCATGATCAGTAGATAAGATCAATTCTGTCGATTCTTGGTAACAATTTTGCGACTTTTGAATGGCGTCCTACATTCTATGCAGCTTATCTCACTTGGTAAAAGTTTTACACGAAAAGGCTTAAACGTGTACTTTTAGAAAACTTTATATCAGGAAAATCTATTTAACCTCTCATTTCCATCCTTATGTCCGTCTTAAAACCTTTGACCGAATGCATGAGCTAAGAATTCCTAGGTGACAAGTTGCTTACAAGCTTATCAGTTATAGGATCTCAATCCTAGATGAGGGGATGGAACCATATCGGGACAATACTAAAAAGGCCATCTAGTGGGCTTCATGACAAAATAAGATTATCCATGTGTCAAACACACACAATTTCATCTCCTCTCTCTTTTCCTTTTTTTTTTTTTTTTGTAAATTGACTTAGACAATAAACCCTCCTCCTCCTATGAAGGAAGAGACACGCATACCCACATTTCACACACTCACTTTGGTCCTCATGGGTCTAGGACCCACAACCTCCTCTATGAGAAGAGGCGTGGGATGTTATTCAATCAAAAGGTTCTGGGCAATTCTCATGTCCTTTAACTATAGTCCAATCGAGTACGTCAATAATAGCAACCATTATAATTACCATGGAAACATTTCAAGGCTCAAAATAAGCTTTACAAGTCAATCACACGTTAGTTTTCGACAACACAATCTTCATCTCATATATAAACGCAAGTCATTTCATAATTCAACATAGATTCCGCAAAACCATTCATTTCATAAACATAAATCCATAGTATTTTCATACTCATAACAGACATATTTAACAAAAATAACGCGAATGCGCAACAAACAAGCGTGTTTATTGAATTGAATGTAGTTACCTTTTCTCCTTTTCTTACCCAGTTACCAACTACTTGTGGAAACACTGCTCAAACCATAATAAAAGTTCGGGTGTGTTTGGGATCACGTTTGGAAGTTGTGTATCCAAACCATCAAAAGTTGGTTTTTTTTATAAAAGTAATGCTTGGTTTAACATTTTGACAATCTGACTGTTATGTTCAAATGGGTTTTTGGAAAGAAACTCCTACTTTTTGCTTTTCATGGTGGAAAAGTGATGATGCAGTGAATATTGGACTCAACACCTTTAATCCTTAGGAGGCAAAAGGCTAAAAAGGAATGAAAAAATGAGGATAAAGCAAAGAATGAGCATGTGCATGTGGACAACAAATGCCAACCTTTTTTTTCTTATTGGCTTTGCTAATATAGAGGGTATATAAACAAATTGCTAATTCTTCGACTATTATATTTGATTATATATCAACACATAGCATCATTGTTTTCTTATATACATTAAATATATTTAATTAAATATTTTAGTATTTTTCAATTTCTTTCCAATAATAAATTAATTTTTTATTTTTAATAATTTTTTTTTACAATTGTCACATTATATACATATAATATTAAATGTGTATTACTTAATAAAATTTATGTCTTTTTTAGTCATTTTATATTTAAACTTACTTTTTTATTAATCATCCAAATAAGTTTTAGTTTTTCAAATTGAATTTTTTTATGTTACACTACCTGATTTTTATCTCAACTTCAGTTTGCAGAAGTCAGAGAAGAAAAAAGCCACATCTACCATCGCTAATCTACATACACCCTTGATCTATATAAACCACACAAAACATCTATCAAGTATCAATACAAGGCTTCTTTTCTTTCTGGACTGATAACACAGGTTTACTTCAACCCAGTCACAATAATATTACGACTTAAACGTCCCAAGCCTCTAAATCCTAACTTTACCTTTCGTAGTGTGCAAGGTCATCGACAGAGAGCACAATTCCTTCCCTTTCTAGCTCTATTTGCAGCGTGGATGGATATCAACAGCAACCCAAATTCTTCCCATTCCAATCCTATCTCATCCCAAAATCAACACTTGCACATTTCTTTCGTAGAACGGGTAAGGATGTAATGATGTTACAGAGCAATCGTTTGGTATGTCATCAAGGAGTCATGAAATGACATTATATTTTATCTTAAAAAAATAAAAATAAATGTGAAATGAGTTTTTAACTCTATTAAGGCCAAAAAAAGAGAGGGTATAAATGTCTAAATGTTGATTCAGGGAGGGTATATATGCCTATACATTGATTCATGTAAGTTAGAATCTGGATTGCATAGCCAATGCTATGTAATGGGGATTACCTGATGTGTTGTAATTAGGATTAGATTGGATTACCTTACAACACCAACCGAATACTTGAATTAGCAGAATGCATCAATCCTGATGTAAGGAACTGAACCAAAAGTGCTAGGCAGTGTTTGGACCAGCATTTTGAGACAAAAATGCGTCTTGGAAAGCATGAAAAGCTGCTTTTTATTGTTTGGGTTAGTGGTAGTCTAGAAGTAATTTCCATTCAAGCTCTACATTGAACCAAAGCTAGTTTTCTCGGCTTTTGATGTTTATTATGCTCTGGTGATAATTTCATTCCTTCTCTACCCTCTGTCCTCTATCGCTTGTCAGTCATTATTGGGAGGGATCCCAACTTCAATGAACATCATATCACTAGGTAAAGGTAAAATAACTTTTAAATATGTTTTTACAATATTTTTCAATTTTTAATATTATTTTATACATTATATATTTTATATATTTTTATTTTTATTCATTAAAAAAGGTAGAATAACCTTTTTGATTTTTTTATATTATTTTATAAATTTTATATTTACATATAATTATATTGTATTTATTAAATATATCTTTTTCTAGTATTTATAATTTTTTAATAATACATTAATTCCTTTTAGTTTGATTATTCTCATATCCTTTTTAGTCATTTTACATCTAAGTTTATTTTTTTATTAATTATGTAAATAAGTTTCATTTGTCAAACTATTTTTTTTTAAATTTAATTCAAATATAAATCATATTACACTGAATGACTTTCACTCTAGCTTAAACTTACAAAAGTCAAATAAAATAAAACCTACTTTTGCCACATCTAATCCAAACACGTTCAATATTCTTATGCCTCGATCAAGGTAAATCACTATTCATGAATTTCAAATCTCCTCAATTTATATTTCAATCCTTTACATTATCCAAATTAATTTCCTAATTACTAATATCAAAATTTAGGAGTAGTTAGAGTATTGTTCATTATGATAGGCGAAGTGAGATCAATCATATTTACTTTTCTTTAAATACTGGACTATAATAACTCGCTAAACTTGCTAGTAGTTTTTTGTGTTAAAAAAGAGTTGCTGGTAATTTTGTCAGTTACTTGTGTGATAATTGTTTGGATTATGTTACGAATGATAGTCTGGCATTTGACTTGATTTTTTTTTTCCAGGCATAGGGATTTTTCTATTGGGGTAATCCTGTCTGAAATACTATTGGATGCTAACCCTATATTTGGCACAAGGGAATTGGGGGGGGGGAGATGGAGAGGAAAAATTTTAATGGGCTCAATTTAAAAAATTAGAGAAACGGGTTTATACAATTTTGATAAAGAAAAGATGTAAAATAAAGAGGCACTAAAATTAATTAAAAGCTTTTAAACTCACTTCTTCAATTTTTTAAAAGAAACTCATTGAAACGTTTCCTCCCTTCCCCTCTCCTCCCGTACCCTCACCTCATACCAAACAAATCATAAATATAAATATCTCTCTCAATATGAATTTGAATTTTTGTTCACCACTTTATGAGATTAACTCCTTCTACTAGACTTAACTCTCATAGGTGGATTAACTTCTACTAAACTTAACTCTTATAGGTGACCTGATTTATTATGGGGCGCTGACTTGATTGATTTTGAGGCGCCGATATACAGGCAAGGGGTGTATGCGTCTGGAGTACTGGGCTGATTATGTACATAACCAAACTTATCGGCCTTATTGTTGTAGCGTAGTGGGCATCATTTTAGAGAAAGGCCCCTCCCATCCATTGTTATGGGCTAACGAATTCTTTGATTCCTGAGTTCCTTGAGGCAAGATCATAGGCATTTTTTTCCTATTACATCTATTAGAGATAAATAAGTTAATCTAAGTTGATTGGTTAACTAAGGATCTATTGCAACTTGTTTC